GAGAAAATGGCTGGCAGCAGGACACACTTACATGAAGAAAGTTGCTCATTTACTGGCTCTCCTGTATCTCATGTGAGCTCTTCTTGCAAATCCAGCTGTCTGCTCCCACTCCAGCCTCAGACACTTCACACAGCCCCATGCCTCCAAACCTAGTCCTTTACCTCTGAACTCAAATCCTCCGAGCTGCAAACACCTTTTAGACAGCTGAAGTTTAGGTAAAATAAACCCACCAGGCCTCAAACAAGACTCTCCAAAGACTGCCCTGTTTCTGCGTCCCATGCACCTTGAGGTCAAGTTGCTCATACAATAGTGAGAATTCTCCTCTGGCTCAGGACATTAAGCAAAGCACCACACAGACCACCACGGCCCAGCTCAGCAGTCTGTGGAGCGAGGACATATCATGCAGTAGCTAAAGGTGACACAGCAAGAGCTGTTTGCTGGCCTGAAAGGTTTGAGAGCTGGCAGAGAGGAGACTTGCTTTGGAGCTGGGCTGATGTTAACTTAACTGGCAGCACCAAACTGAGGTTTGCACTAGTCAAACACACTAGAGATTCAGCATCAGTTCAGAGGTCAGGGCTGGAAAGACATTCTGAGTTGTTTCCTTAATAACCAAATGGTGGATTTTGTCCTGGCTGGTCACTGACACATCAAAACAATACCAAGCACACTAAGGATATGAACTAGCATGCTCCTGGTCTCAGAGATCTTTCTAGTGTCAGATTCAGGTCAAAATAGGATTTATTTCACACCTTATCAAAACATGAATTTCAGAAATAGCCTTACAGGTGATACCATGATCTCCAAACTTCCTCTTAAGTCCAAAACCAAACCTAGTCCATCCTGGTGATTCCGAGTTACTGTCATCATGGACATGCATACACAGTTGTGCAAGCAGAAAGCTGCATTATGGTCTGGTCAAGTGCAAGTCCCTGGCTCCACAAAGAAGTGCAGCATTGCAGGCACACACATGCTTCTGTGAGAGAGTGGATAGCTGCATGCATCTTTTAAACCTTATACATATAAAATATCCAGCTGCTTCTTTTGCCTCAGCATCACATGCACCACCTCAGGTCTACCTGTCAAGCTCCAGTCCCTGAGCAAGCTACAGTTCATTTTGAATCCTTCCTGCTGGCCTCTCCCATGCAGAGCACAAATAGAAGAGCTTTCCTTCACTTCCAGCAGCTGTCAGGACTTACAGGAGCATGGATCCTGCACTGGAATTTCATACATGTACATGATATTTGGACCTCCATAATCCTGCAGCCAAAGGACACTCAAGACAGCACATGCACACACCTTGGATGGTACCATTCCCCGAACTGGCTACTTTTGCTAGCTCTTTGCATGCTGTGACTGTGCCCCCAAGCTCTCTGCTGGGCCAGCATGTCTAGTGCTGCTGCTCCCATAAGCCACATGCACTGCACATCCTGGTCAAACCCCGTCAGTGTTAGTAAAACTAATTTCCACCGACCCTGGTTATGGACGTCGTTCTTACTATCGATCTCCGCTGCTTCTTGGGCTTCCCCAGCTCGTACTCATCATCATCCAAATCCTGAACGGAAAGAGGATTCCTGTGTTACCTTTGTGATTCTGTGACACATGAGCAATTCAGTGCTAAAAATGTTCCCTGTATGAAGATGAACCTGCTTGCACTGTCTTCCAGGCATTCAGCATTTGCCTTAATTGAAGTTATAATGGCAAAGGGAAAAGGAAGGTCTGCAGAGACAGGAATAACAGCTTGGAGAAGCAAAACAGCCCTAGTTCTATGTTCAAGGAACAAGGACAGTCACAGCCCCACGTTTTGATGGGTTCTTCTCTCAGTACCCTCCAAGAGGTGGAAGGCAGGTGATGCTAGAGTCTGAAGGCAAGTAAGATGCAAACCTGAAAGCATCTCACACATCTAGCCAGGGGGGTTCTCTGTAAGGACCTGTTTTGCAGTCTCAGACCCCCCTGGCCCTTTAATTACAGCTGGGGATCTAGCTGGGCTCCTTCAATCAGCATTACAGATGCAATCAAGTGATGCCTTGACCATTAGGCAGAGAAACACAAAGATACTAATGTTTTAGCATTTCAAGGGCGCTCAAGTCCAAACACGTGCACAGATAAATCACGGCACGGTAGAAGAAATGGGTTACTGTGCAGGCCTTCTCCACTGCAGCTAAACACTTGGGAACAGTCTTGCAGTGGCATAGTTTAGCTAGAAAAATAGGCTTTTAGTTTCAAGCACAAGCTGAGAGTGTACACACTCCACTGAAGCTCTCACAGGGAGAAGCCATGCCCTAAACAGTACCTGGCCCTGTACGGCATCATCACTGGCCTCCTGCTCAGAAGAGAAGCTCTCGTACTCCTCCTCGGAATAGTTGTCTGAAAGGGAAGGAGAGAGGGAAAAGATCCTGTGAAACTCCTTTAGGGTGAGGGCACAGTCTCGTTGCAGGAGCAGAAAAGGCCAACTAAGTCACAAATCAAGAAAGGAGACACAAAAGGAGAACCACCAGGAATCTATCTGTACTAGAACTAGTGAAGTGGGAACTGTCTGGAGGTAAGGAACAAGGAGAAACATGTCCAGTGGGAAGGAAGGACCAGGACACAGATAAGGCTCCTTGAAACACCACCTCCTTTTTCCCTGGAAAGAACCACCTGGTAGACAACAGCACGTAAAGAGGTTTCTCCACGAGAGAAATTAATTTTCCCCCTATCATGGGTACAACCAGCTTCAAGGAACAAGTAAAACATGACAGGAGAGGCTAAATCCTTTACTGAAATGACACTTCAGGTGAGCTTGCCTGGCCTCAGGCAACAACACAGAAGCACCTGCATGCTCTACCTTCAAAAGGTCACTCTTCTATCAGTGAGAAGAAGGCTGGTACCATATAAAGAGATCATCAAAAGTAGAAACCCAATGACTTTCCTATACAATGCACAACGCCATGGATTTACACTCATTAAACCAGGTCATCAACCACAGCAAAACATGCTGCAGGTTTGCAGTTCTCATCTAAAGTTAATGAGATTTATTTGTCGAATACTCAGAAGAAAATGGAAGAGTAGCTTAAACTTCTGAATACAGCACTGTTAGCCAGGTGAGAAGCTAGAGGTTCTCAACACGCCTCCCATTAATGCTAGGGGATCAAAGGAGAGAGCTAAGCCTCACTGGATGGCTCAGGCCTGGTGTGGTATATACAGGAGAAGCTTTGACAATTCAATCCCTCACTCCTGTCATACTCCCTGCTTACACAGCAACATGTTTGCAAAGTGGTTTTTCTTTGCATTAATCAGTTACACACATAGCAACTTGTGCAAACCAGTTCTCAATTGTCCTAGGAAGCATCTTAGCCCAGGTGGGGTTTAACTCCTGCTAGTTCAAGAAGACACTGGTCATCAGAGCACGTGGTTGCAGTCTTACCTGTAGACTTGATTTTCTGGCTGGCCTGCATAGTGCTGTCTTCATGGTCGATTGGCTGACTTGACAAGGAGAAGATCCAGATTTCTGCTACCTTCACTGCAGCCTCTTTGATGTTGCTGAAAAGGCTCAGAACCTGGCCACCTTCTGTTGGGTGCTGCATGACCTGGGACAGAAACAAAGCAGTATAAATCTGCATTTAAATTCTTTCAAACTTGCATCATTTGCATACTACAAGAGTTATTTATGTTAATAGAATTACTCCACATTTCCAAGTACAGAAGCAAGCCAAGACCCTGCAACTGCAGGAGCCACTTGCAGGCAATACACAATGCTAGTTGAGATTTTATTTGACTACTAATGAAAGTGATGAGAAGAAAGAAAAACTGTTCTGAGCTTTACAGTTGATTAGCTCATCCTTGAAGCACAGTGCTTGAGTACCTCATTACTATACATTTGCTTCCATGGCACAGTACTGATTTCAATTATCAAGTTACCAACCTTCGGAACATCTAATTAAGGAACTTATTTTGTATTAAAGCCAAGCAAAAGAGCCACTAAAGGCAAAAGTTCTTGGTGAGACACAGATTTAAAGTGCTTCCTAAAGCAAAAATCTCTGCTCCAGAGAGCTGGCACATGACTCTCAGAGGAACTGGCCACCCCAGGACAATGAAGCAGCAGATCATGAAAAACAAGACAACGAAAGAGGCAGAGGGACATCTCAGTGTGGGCTTCTCCTTCCTCTGCCACTCACAGGGTTCTCTCCAGAGCCTAAGACTTATATTGTTCTCCTGCCCCACCAGGGCAAGCAAGCACACCCCCACACCTGCACCTCAGCTTTCCAACACACACCAGGCTGCTCTGTCAGCTCCTCACGTGGTTCCAAACAGACCTGAGCTGATGAGGAACATATGCAACCCTGGTATGAAACTCTGCTCAGACTCAACTCCAATTCACTGCTTTGTTTCAACAGCTAAGAGAACTAATTTTTTCCTTTTTTTTTTTCTTTAAGGAAACGAGAAATGAGTCAGTGCAGTTTAGGGGTCAGGATCCTACAAACTGCAAAGGGGAGGGGAAGCTTGCAAAATTTGTTTTCCTCAAGACTTCAATTCAGAAATATTCCAGATGAGCTGGAGATCAGCTATTTCCTAAGATGGTGAACCTTTGAACATTTTTGACCTTCTAACCTCAGTCAGCTGACATTACAAAAAGACATAAGAAAAACCACATGCAGCAGCAGCAAATGCCCAACACTTAGAAGTTCACTGATGGCTCTAATTAATGGGCCCACATGTTTTCTGCCTTACAGCAGTATTTAATTTCTAGTTCAACAAATCAAACACAGTACAGGAAAAATGTTAGCTGCAACACTACAAACTTGGCCAATTCAAATGGGGAGTTCACTATTTACTGCAAGACTGGGGGAAGCTGAACTCACACAGAAGATGTAGTCTCTATAATGAATTATTTAGTATAGTAATAACTCAGCACAGCATAACACTGACTTATTTTGGATAAAAATGATTTGTGGATAGGATGCACTCTTATGAAAAATACTGGTGTTAAGCTGAACTTGCTATTGCTAAGCCAATCAATAAGTACTCAGAAACAGAAACAGCAACAGCAGAGAAGAAACAGTGCATGAAATAATGAAGCATGGAGCTATGCCATTCAGAAAGCCTTACTGAATAATTTATCCATAATTGATTCCAGCATTAATTTTATCATTTACTTCTCATGAATAGAACTCCACCTAAATTACCAACAGCCATGAAAGAAGAATTGCAAAGGGTTTTTCAAGCAAAATGAGAGAAACTACTTGATCCTGAACTCTCATACTGTGGCACAGAGTAACACAGCAAACCTTGATTTATCTTCACTGTTTCTCAGAGTTGGAAGACTTGACCAAGTGACCCTATGTGTATTGTTCTGCATTTTTGATCTGGAGACCTAACTCTGAAAAAAACACAGAGCAGTAACAAAACCCTCACAAGGTAATAAGCTAGCCTCATGAAAGCTTTAGCTCTCCAGACACTATGCAGAAAGCATTCAATATTTATTACTCAGTAGTAAAATCTGTTTAAAATATTGCCCTGTGAATATTGATTACAGCTATTAAGACAGCAATATGAAATCCTGCCAGGTACTTCTCAATGAGGAAAGTGACAACACTGTGTTTAAAGAGAAGGGAAAATGTTCACCTGTGTAAACAGAGACCATGTCAAATGCTGCTCACCTCAGCCATGTTGATAGACCCCACAGCCAGAGTCTTGTAGCCTAAAATGGTTCGGTTCTTGTACCTCTTCCGCCGCTGCAGCATGATCTGAAGCTTGTTGCCTTCTCTCTTCAAGAAGTGAGGGTACTGCAGTGGGAAACACAATGGAAAAGTTTATTACATTTCTTGGCAGTATCTCCCAAGTTGCCTGCATCACAAGTATCTTCCATCCCCAGGGATTATGCCTAAGGCTTTCATAAGTGCCTCCAGCTAACTCACACTCAGTGGACAATCCTTCATTATCCCATGGAAGACTTCAGCTCTGCCCAAACAGCTCAGCCAAGCACATGGAAAACACAATCCAGGGGCACAGAGGAGCTGTTCGGTTTGGGAGGGCTGAGCCCAAGCCTGGTTCCAGGGAGATGAACAGTTCCCAGGAGACACTTTCCCCAACAGCTCAATGGAGGTTGCACAGAACTGCAGCCCCAGAGGTGTCACTTGGGACACAGGCTGCCTTGCACAAACAGTGGGCAATGTGCAGTGGCAGGGACAGCCTCAGACCCCCACACTCTTGGCAGGACACTGTGGTCCCTCTAGCACAAGGACACTTCTCAAGTGGTTGTATTTTAGGTAATTAAGTCAAAAAAACCAAACCCTGTCCTACTGCCAGGCTATGTTGCAAGGACATAAATCCTTCCAAGACATGTTCCATACAAGAAAATACATTTGTTATACATCTCCCAAAAAATCTCCAAGAATAGAAGGCCAT